GGGGGGGGAAAAATGTCCCAAAAATTTTTTTGGGGGTTTTGGGAAAAAAAAAAAAAACCCCCAAAAATTTGGGGGTTTTTGGAAGGGGGGGAAAAAGGGTTTTCCTTTTAAAAAGGGGGGGGGGTTAAATTGTAAAAATTTCCCCCCAATGTAAAAATGGGCCCCCCCCCCCCCCCCCCCCCCCCCCCCGTGTTCATTATCGTCGCCCCCTTCCCACTCTCTCTCTCTCTCATGTCGTACATACTTTGTGGTTGCCTGTGTCGTTCCTTTGCCTCTTGTTTTTGTTTCGTGCACACCGGCAACGATGACACCACACCATGGACACGGTCACATGAAGGAGGATGTCGAGCAGGGCATGGCGATCGAGCGAAGACTGTACGCCAGAGTCCTCGGCACGAAAGACAGAGACGAGGGGCTAGCGGCGTTTCAGGAGAGACGGCCGCCGGAATTCACAGGAGAATAGCACCGACCATTTACAAAGATGAGAAAGATGGTGTGGAGATGTTCTTCATGAAGGGTACAATCTCCCACCGTACGGTTCGCTCTTTTCACAGTTGTTTTTTGTTTTTTTGTGTATTTTGCCGTCATGTGACCACAGCTGGTGTGTTATCACGACAGCAGCGTGCACCGAGAAGTGTAGCCTGGCGCCCAGAAGACGCGGGACGAAAAACGCACACACATGCTGTACATAGTCGGCTAGGAGCTCGATGGTTGCCTGCTTGCGCAATTTGCATGGTTTCGCGACCGGTTTTGAGGTGTAGTCGCTGCGGCACCTGTTAAGAAGAAGAGGAGAGGAGAGAGGTTGGCAGAGAAGAAGCAAGTACGGGAAGGAGACGTCAGGCTTTGCCGGGAAATTCTTCCACTGCTGTGGCAGGCATTGTCTTGAACGGGTATTACAGTTAGTGGTTGCATGTATACATGTACTTCGAAACACGCGCAGGCATTGACACGCGGTCATCTCTCGTGATGATAGTATAGTAAAGAGGCCAGCCGCCGTTCGTTGTACGTTGCTTGATGGCATGTGGTTTACAGCAGTTTGGTTGTTTGTAAAAACGGTTGTTTGAACGGGGGTGTACGGATCCATGCTCGCTCTGGTGTGACCCAGAGCAGCTGGTTGTCTGCAGCTAGCCACGGCACTTAGAGAACCTCTAGTTTTGGCCGAAGGGGTGAAGATCTTGCTGTAGTTCCTCATGAGGGCTACAAATGATCCCCGCTTTATATAGTTTTTGGTGTAGGGATTCTTAGCGGGGCTCACCAATGGAAGTTCTCGGGTTTTGAGTTCTTCGACGCCCCAAGTTCTTAGCTGCCCAGTTGTTTCTTAGATGCTGGCTCTAACAAGGCGCTACCTTAACTGTCTGTGACAAGGCTACGGTGTATCTGAAGGAATCCAACAATCAATGTGAACGGCTGCGTGCGGAAAGGAGTCAAGATGTTGTTGTTGCTCGCTATTTGGGGTGAAGAGCTGAATTGAAATATTTCCAGCGATGATTCAAGAGCGGAGGGGGGGGGGGGGGGAACGGTCCCGGGGGGGGGGGGGGGGAAAAAAAAAAAAAAACCCCCCTTTTAGCCCCCCCCCCGGGGTCCCGGGCAACAGGGGGGGTTTTTTTGTTTTTTAAAATAACAAGGGGCCAAAACTCGGGGGGTGGGGCCCCAAAGGTGGTTTTCCCAAAAAAAAAAAAAAAGGGGATTTGGGAAAACCGGGGTACCCCCCCGAAAAAAAAAAAAAAAACCCCTCCCCCCCCCGGGGGGGGGGGGGGGGAACCCCCCCGGGGGGTTTTCCGTTTTTCCCCCAAAAAAAAAAAATTTGGAATTAAATGGGGGGGGCCCCCGACCCCCCCAAAAAAAA